CCCCCCCCCCCCCCCCGATAGAGATAAACCATTGAGTCTCAGTAAATTGACTACTGTAATTTATGTATTGAAAAAGACTCACCGCGCTTTATTTGATACCTAGTAAGTGTACGACGCGTTTTATAGTTTTACTTTATATCAGTCGTGTCCTATAAAGATAGTAGGCCATATATTCAAGACAATATCACTTTGTGACTGATCTGAATCATTTAGATCGAGGTCTTCCTCCCAAATGCATGTGGACTAAAGCAGATCGTCTTTAATATTATTCTCAGAGAAGTCTGTACTTTGTTGGCTAGGTTCTAGCGTGTTCATCTGCTCGTCCGAGGCGGTTGCGTTTTGCATGGAAGTTGGAATTACCGTAGATGCGACGACGTTCCCGTTGCTTTCCGATTCCGATTTCCTCTTCAATTGCCCGACTATAGTTACGTAGTTGGCAGGTACTAAACCGACGTTCCTATTGTCGGTGGCTATCCACCAACCTGGTATGCTCTTGGATTGCAGGGAGCGCGGCGCCAGCCATATTTTCTGACCGGCTCTCAGGCTCAGCTCCTCGTTGGAAACCGCCATGAAATCGTACATCGCTGTTGCCACGCATACAGGATCCTCGCATTTCACCCATTCTTTCGGATCATTAACTGTAAATTTAATCGATATATGTAATGTTAAAGTATATCAAAGTATATTTTAAGGACAAAAATTACTTTAAGAAAAAATTAGTTTATACATGTCTCGAAATTCGCAAATCAAAATATTATAGCAAGAAAGTTTTCGAAAAATAAAGTAAAGTTATTTGTAAATTTCTATTTTAAGCAGTAATTTTTGAGATACAAGAGTTTAAATTTAGCCAATTATAGATTAGTACGCGCGTGAGGTGCGCGACTACTAACACTATCGACGCGTTCATGGACATGTCTCCGTTTAACCGTAATCTATAATTAGCTAAATTTAAACTCATATCTCAAAAACTACTGCTTAAAAAATTCCAACTTTTTTACTTAATTTTTCAGACTTTCCTGCTATAATATTTTGATTCGCGAATTTCGGGACACCCTGTATACAAAGATGTATTGTACACTTTTTCTTATAATTTTGATAAAAATCATTTAGACATTTTTTCAAGCATAAAAATTTAGTGACGAGAGACGCAGATTGTTATTTGTAAAACTATACCGCGTATTTATGAATTTAGATTTTGTATCCTTGGAAATGTAGAAGTAACTACCTTTTATTTGATTCTGCCTTATATTACTCGATATCTTGTGAATTAGATATGGAATAGTGACAAACATGCCGAGGAGCAGAACGTTCATCCACGGAGAAACACGTTCGTTCGTCGTCATCGTCGGCGTCCGTTCTCCGCTCGTTAGCTGTGACACCGATTGCTGCCACAAGTCTTCGACGGTAGCACTTTGCGTCTGAAGACCTGATAACAATTTATCACATTGTTAAATAATGATAAATGTACACATGGTAATCTATGCAAGTATGTACATTTGTATAAATCTACATAAATTTCGTTATAAAAAAAAAGCTTACCAAGCATAAATAAAACTCTTCTGTACAACCATTTCATGAAGCGAATTAAAGCAAATGTGCTCAATAACTGGCCGATTGTTGAACGCAGTCTACCGATATTATCGGCGACGCTTAAAATCGCACGGAACGAATTTGTCAGTGCGAAATATGTTGACTCCAGTAACATCGTGATAGACGAAAATGTATGTAATACAGTCTCCACTACACGGAAAGTCGATCTCGTGCTCTCTTCGGCATACTGTTGAAACCTGCAATATGAAAAGCAAGCTTTTTTAGTGAGGGAATAATGGAGATAGTTGAAGATACTTTTTTAAACAAAAATTGCAACTCATAGGAAGGATAGATCGATGACATTATAATTTACATTAGATTTGATCTTTTAAACTGCATGATCTGTACTTTTCTTTCGATTTTATATTAAGATGTGATTATATATACTTTTTCTTATAATTTGGATAAAAATCATTAGACATTTAACATTTTTCCAAGCATAAAAATTTAGTGACGAGAGACGCAGATTGTTATTTGTAAAAATACATAGTGTATTTGTGGATTTATTTAGCTTTTGTAATCTTGGAGATTTAGAAGTAACTATATCCTTTCAAGACTAAATTGTTACGATCCTTAAATAACGATATAATATTGAGCAAGAAAATTTTATATAAGTTTTTATTCTGTCATTATTTTATATCAATATATAGTCAACTCTCGACTCGAAGTTATTTGTAGAAATGACTTTTTATACCTGCTTTCCACGTCGCCGCTGTGCCCTCCAATTTGCCCGTAGCTGGTACCGGAATAAGGCATGTAACTACCGAAAGATCCGTATCCACCGTAACCCCTGTAACCACCTCCGTATCCGTAGCTCCCATACCCGTAGCTCGAACCATATGGTCTATAATCGTTATAACCTAGGTAGCTCTGAGTCGACTGGCGAGGTGGCAACGGAGGCGGGACAGCTGCGGCTCCGGATTGAAAGGGCAAGTGTGGTCCCGGCATGCTGGACAGAATCAAAATTTTCTCATCGTTCACATTGTTTGTTTCAAATGTCACTTGAGATGAGCATCAGTAGAGCATCGCTTTGCAGTAAACCGTGCGGAACGGAAAACTGTACGTAAATCTATATAATTCAAACGTGCAAAGCAAACTTATTAGATGATTATCAGAAAATGATATAATCGAGAAAGATTAAAAGATTAAGAAAATCTACCGGAGATGATTAAATATTTCGGAGCGTGCAGCATTTACTCCGGATATACGGCCCTTTATTTCCTCTACCTGTTTCGTCCTTCTTTATTTTTTAGTGCTCGAAAGTACATCGTAAAATATCATTTGAAAGGACGTGACCGAACGGGAGAGCTGTCCGCGAACGCGAATTCGATTGCAAGACGGCCAGACGAATGCCCTTTGACATCGCCATGATTCTGCGGATGTTGCGGGAGCACGTTGAGGACGCGCGTCGACATGCCAGACGCGCCGACGTCTCACCTGGACGAAATGCCGGAAGAATTCCTGAGCTGGTTGCCGTTAACGTTACTCCATCCCGGTGCCATGTCGCTCACGTCCGTTGGTCCGGTAACTGGCTCCCGAATTCGAAGAATTCTCGCGCTCGCGACACGCGTGACGCGGCGGCACGATAGGCACGACGGCGTAAAACGGTGACGGTCCCGCTGATAGCGCGGGTGCAAAGTTCAGGAACTTTAAAGGAGGAACCTGTGCACCTTCCTTACGTCCGAAGGATAAGTCCGGCGGCGGAGGCGGGGCGCTTTGTCGAGTCGCGAAACATTACACGTCCCCCGCGTGCGTTAAGTTATTCCGTATTGACATATTAAAGGCCCATCCAGATGTGAGCACTCGCTCGTAGGTAACGTTCGTGAAAGCCGGACATGATCAATAAAATCATATACAACTCCGCGGGAATTGTAAACGTTTGGGGAGAACCTCGTCGATTCGCGTCATATTTTCAACGAAATCACAAGTCTTCCATTGGCGGTGTGCCCCTGGGCCCTGACGGACGCCTTGCCAATTTAAAAAAAAAAATGTAATAATTTTCGACAGCTTGATTTTCAGGTCTGGTAACTTCTGGTGATTTTCGAGAGTTCGAGTTTGCGCAACTTTGTCACTTTCTCGCAGCGGGGTCCTTGCGCTTAAAACAATTTTCTGAAATATTCCTTGATTTCATTAAACAAGAATCTACGTGTATAATTATATATATATAATTTTTTTTTAATTAATAAAAAAATTTATATTATGTGGAAATGAAATTTTAATGACATTTATGAATAATTTATATATTTTTTAAGAGTTTTACAATACATACAAAAAATTGATGGATATATATTAAAACTTTTAAGCTTAATTTGCTAATTACCACTTTCAAAATTAACGATTGACAGGTACATCTTCATAGCAACGATAACATATAAAAACATGATAATGAACGATTAAGAAATATTTTATAAAACATCGTAGATATATCCATAGATCGAACGTTGATTAAAAATACATTCATTACTTTCTAGCATTAGTGCACAATAACATGAAAATCGTCGAAATTCTGTATATTCTATAATGAAATATATCATGTCAATATATATCGTGTTCTTGAAATTATAAGATAAAAACTATAAGTACTTATACAGATAAAAAAAGGAGCATCTAATGTTTCGTACGAACAAAAATGCATTATCGCTCACAGTAAAAAGTTATATTAAACTCAAATTTTAAGAATTAAAAAAATCGTGCATCATAGATGTGTACAACGCGTCGACTTTAAGTAAAATGTGCAACGTGAACAATTATGCAGACCTGAAGTAGAAGCACAAAGACTTTCATCGCTCATATATATTTCTTTCGTATTAACAATCTTCGCTAAAGCTTTTGATTTTATACAAACTCTTACTTTGATTAGTTTAAAAGTGCTAAGAGGTTCACTCCGTGTCTCCTTGCCATTGTTAATGTCAACATTTTATAAACAATGCAGTTCACTTCAGGGCGAGAAGTAATCTGATATTAAGCTGCTTGCTTTGATTAGTTTAAATGTGCTCTTCTTTTTTATGGCATTCCACACTTTATGGCATAAAACTGTTATATTTATATAAAAACCGTGCAAGTAATTTATACTCTAAAATTCATAGATTTTTTCTTTTGTACACACATTTTATCATTTTGTCAACACTATTTAAATTGCTGTTTCTTCACGATTTCTCATCCTCGCTCGAACTGTCCATTGTATAACATAACTGAAAATTGAAAAATATATACATGTAACATCAAATGTAGATGGATTTAACATAAGGCGATTAAAAAAAATATTATCTCAATTTTTATTTATTAAAAAAAATTGTGAAGCTAGTTTACACAAACGAACATAGAAATAGTGTTCAAAAAAATTCTTTGGAGTACTTTAGATGCTTAGAATGCATTTAACTACGTATGATATTTCGTTACATACCTCATCTAGATCTGGTCTTTTCAGTATTTCCTCGAGTCCTGATAATTTCTCGAGATAATTTGGCATATTGCAAGCGTCGAGCACGAAAGCAAAATCGCGTTGTCGATATTCGTCGATCAAAGGCGTCGAGCAAGCTGTGCAGAAGGGGGATCTATGCGTAACGGTCAATTTCATTTCGTGGCCCCAAAGCGAGCCCCGTATCGTGTGAGGTACGCCACCCAATAATCCTATCAGCGGACTGTCGACGTTCTCTCGACAATCGTCTTCATCGTTATTCATAAGCGCCCTAGCTGAAATTCTAAAAATTATGAATTTATTAGATTAAACCAACGAACCATCTGCATATTTATAGATAAATTAAACTTTATTTTTAATTTAGCTTACTCCTGGGGATGTTGCGTTACTGCCATGAGTAGTTCAACTGCCAGACCCGCGGCGATTTGCGACAAACCCGGCCGACTTACAGTACATTGCTGATCGAGCGTTCTATCAGTTTGTGACTAGAATCAGAATGAAAAAAAACCAATTACAGAATTGAAATGTATCTTTCCCGGGATCCAATACGCTGTTAAAATATGCACTCACGTTTCCAGGTTGCGTTACATCGTTACAAAAGTAGCATCCAAGATCGAATCCCGCAGGATTCTGGACCGTTAAATTAGGCGAGACGGGATTGGAAAATGCGCGCGTGCCGTGCCGTTGCACCGTGTACGAATCGAAGCCCAAAGCGGCGTTGATTGCAATCTTATTCGTCGCGGCGCACAGGAGGGTCGGCAGCCATCTGGCCTCGCGCGAATCCAGAAGCAGGAACACCACGTCGTGACTGTTCACGAGCTCTTGCAGTTCGCTCACAGCCTGCCTGGTCGTCTCCATCATACTCCGACCGACCACGTGACCGGGCATGGGAATGTGCAAGACGACACCTTTCACATTCTGCAACGTAAGTGATTTTATTGACGATTACTCTCCTCGTCGAAATATCGTCTTAAGTGGCGTCTACAATGAGACTTGAGATTTAAGAAAATTGATCAATCACTAACGATTATTCTTCTTACGTGAGATGAATAATCGACTATGATTGGTCAATTTTCTTAAATCTTAAGTCTTAAGGCACATTGTAGACAACGCTTTACGATGCAACAAAGTTCAATATACTCGCCATACTGGGGCGTATCCTAAGTAGAGCGTCTTTCGCGGCATGCGCCTTGTGCCGACGTTGCACCGCATCCTCGTGCGTGTATAGACTCTGGCGCACCGTATTGCTGTGAGAGACGGTAGAGCTATCTACGAGCGTCATATTATTAATACCCCAGCCGAGGAGCACCCTCGCCACGGAACATCCGAGTGTACCGGCACCCAACAGAAGGCAACGTAGACCACTGATCTTTTCCAAATCTAGATCAGGGACAAGGCGCCATTTCATCAATTTCAGATTTAAATTGATCGCTCTGTCTGATAGTCTGACATAACATACAAACGTAAATAGCACTCGTAAACCTCTGTACGTGATAAAAATTGCTGTTAGCCAACTTGAAGAATTTAGGCTTACTTGGCAGGATCCATGATGTTAGATAAATCCGAGATGTTAGGGCCCATTTTCCCATTTGCGTTAGCCTCCCAACCTACTAAGTGCCCTTCGGAAATAGCTTCTCTCATAGCTTCCACGTCTCCGTCTTCTTTGATTCTAAGTGTAAATACAACTGCAGTTTGCACTTTGTCGCTCCTCACAGATAAGACTTTGATGTCGCGTGTAAAGCAGTACGTAGGACAGTGCCACAGTAATAGGCACAACAGGTTTCGCAAGGGCCACCCAGGTTCTGCACTCGCGCAGGGATCATAAAATGCAAAGTATACCGCATCGCTTGCCTGTGTGACAATATTGAAGATAGATTAACATAATAATTTCATTACTTTAACACACAAATGAAAACTAATAAGAGCGTAATTTAAATTGTACCTGCTCTGAATCTCCCTTGTTGCTAACGTTTAGTTTTATATATTCCACTCCCTTCGACAAATTATCAACGCTCAAATCATTCTCTCCGGACACAAAAACTGTGAAGAAGTTCCTTGCTCTCGCGTCCAATTGGAGAAAACTCGTGTGTAATTTATCTATTTGACTGGCTGTAAACTCGCCGGATGCAAATTTTGTCGGTGCGACCGAGTGAATTTCCGGTAACGAGAAAGGAGTTGGATGCGCGGCCCAGTAATGAAACTTGTACTTCTTGAGATCAGAGTAAGCAAATACCAGGAATACCGAGAGCCGCCAAGGCTCCCGCAGGGCCGTGCCGTCTCTGATACTGTCGATAATGCATCCGCCCATGGTGTCAATAAACTTCTCGGGATTTATCTGTCTGAACGCCTCGTAGGTGTTTGTGTTAATCATGTGGCCACAGCAAGCTACTCCGGCATTGTGAGAAGTTGTCTCCAGGTTTCTGAAACTCATCTAAATGGAGCTTATCTTGTTTATTATATCAACACAGAATTTACACATCATTGTTAATGGCTAATATTAATACGGATGCAAATTACATTGCAAAACAGTCTATTTCCTTAAAAAAAAAAACACACAAATTATTCTTATGCTTGCGTAATACTTACTCATTAAACGAAGTACAATCTAGCGTTAAAGGATTAGTCCTGCCCTCATCCATCGATTGCAGGGAGAAACTTCCCCACAAATGTATCTTAGCTTTTTCATCTAGTTTCAATTTGTCTATTTTCAATTCTGCAAATTTTGCCCAAAAGGTCGAGTCCGTCGCCGTTTTCAATTTTGTGAACCTTATTACCTCGGACATCCTTGGAAATTTACTTTTTTAAATCTAAAAGATAAAAAAAATGACAATAAATGTATGTTTTGCAACAAAATATAAGCTGTCACAAATAAAGATAAGATTTATGGCACGAAAAGATGCACGAAATTCTAGAAGTGTCAAAATTTTCAGAAAAATCTCTTGACATCGAACGACATCGCACAAAAGTGACATTCAGTATCGCATAGCAAGCTTATAGGTTAACCACATATCTTGTCCGCATTATAATTACTTATACATTAAATAATCGAAACGCAAATTTTTAGGTCGACATCAAAAATATAGCGAACCTAAATATTTTGATAGTGAGCTATGCGCTTCAAAAATAGCACGTATCTATATGTAAACATACATGGATCTCCGTCTCTCTTCTTCTGGACTGTAAATTAAACTTAATTAACACACACGCGTATCGTCCATACGGGGTAATTGTCGGCAGCAGTCGCTGCAATTATATGAAAGCAAGTACAAAGTACATACTTGTAAACACCGTAAACGAACGGTAAACAAAGGCGAACGTCACCGTACGCTGCGCACAGATGTCGTGTCGCTGAGTGTTGACAGTGTTGTTTCCGCCGCTGCGCGCCTGAAGTTAGGCACGTTTGAGCCGAGCGCGTCACGTGCGCGCCTAACTTCAGATGCAAGGAGACGACACTCCAAGAGCCAGTCGACTGGTCGACACTGTGACACACGCGCAATTACGCAAGTCGCGCTTCGCGATAGAATATAATTTATATATCTTGTCTAAAATTTCAGAGTTTTTTGTGAGTGGAACCGGAGAGTTTCTCGGCAGAAATATGTTTTATTAATCGTTATTAATTATCAATTATTTATCAACAATTGAATTAAAATTTTATTAATATATTTTCATCTATAACTTCGCGAAAGAGAGAGAGAGAGTTCTTTTCTGTTATAGGACTCTGATTTACGATTAAAAAAACCTGACGCATCATTTATTGTTCTCGCGCTTCTTGTTTATTACCGATTTATTTATAAATTGGGAAATTATACATGCGAATTAGTCAAGGCAAACATGACACTTCAGAGCGTTCAAAGTATCGCCGACCGCGATCGTTTTTTTCTATCCTCTTAACAGGTGCGATCTCTTTCGCGGAAAAAATTACGACCGGCGTGCAAGCGTGATTGCACGCCGCGTGGATAAGTGGGACGGAATGGAGTGGAGTTAAAAAAGCGCATCGCGAGGACGATTTTGCAATCGGCGTCGCGGTCGGCCGCCGACGCGCGTTTCTCTTCGGAGCGCTCATATATTTTTTTTTTTTGCGGACGAGAGGTTAACATCTCTCTCTCTCTCTCTCTCTCTCTCGAATGCAAAATCGATGCGCGTTCGAGTGTACATAAAATTACGTATGCGAGAATTAAATAATTAATATATATCTCTTTGCAGTTATCGCGCATTCGATAAGCGAAATCGGTGAAACGCGATCTCGCGCGATCGGTCGGCGGCGCCTGAATTTGGTCACCGCAGCGACGGCTGCGCCGTGCCGGCTGCGCGCTGCGCGCGGCGCCGACGGTACCGCCGCGCCAATATGGCCGCACGGTATCGGCTGTTCGCAACGACGCGACCGTGAGAGTGGGCCATCCGCGGGGGGTTGCCCACCGAGCGAGGTAGGTCCAGGAGGAGAATAATGTCGGACTACCTGAGGTCCGCGCTCGGGTACCTGAACGGCGCCACCACCACCGGCGGCGGCAACGAGTACGTCGGCCAGACGTTGGAGATCAACAATGTGAAGCTGAGGGTGACGCGACTGATCGCCGAGGGTGAGTCTATCATCTCCGGCTGGCGCGGACGTGGACTCTCGTGGCGGCCCCGCCGCTGCTGTCAGATCTCGTCCTCCTGCCGGCGGGCGCCTCCTACCCGCGTGATTACGCGTCGCGATTAAGCGGTCGACCGCGGCCTGCTTTTCTCGCGTCGCGTCGAAAAAAAAAAAAAACAACGGCCGCGGACGATCGGAACGGCGGGAAGGGCGGTGGTGAGGAGTGAGAAAGGCAGTTCACAGATCTCTCGCGTGACACATCTGCCCTCCTGTCATGTGTCAAAGCGTGTGTTTTGACACGCGGCCAGACACAGCGCCAGGCACGTCGCGGACAATCTGTTCTGACGTTAGCGCGCCACGTCTCTCCTTCTCTATCGCACACACACACACACACACACACACACATGCGCGCACACACTCGCGTTCCGCTCGGATCGGATATTGTCGTTTTATCGGATGGTGGTCCGTTCGTCAGCAGTTGATGACCTGTCGCCTATTTTCTTAAACGACCGTTTGTCGCGAGCTTCAAGATGCAGGCGATTTCGTTCGCCCGGTCGGTCCCCCGAGTTCACAGCTCCCTCGGGAATGCGCCACGAAGTTATCTAGATACTTCTTTCTAATTATATTTAGAATCTATTGATTGTATTAATATAGCCTGCTTTAGTTGAATCGTCATACATTATCAATTTCTGTTACTGAATATTAATGCTGTATCACGACAATAGACATTTAGCATGATCGTGACACGCAAGAGGTTGATTTATCAGAAAATTCAAGTCTCTAACAAATATAATTATAATTATAATTTAACTTGGGTATTTGTAAAATAAAATCAATTTTGCAGACCTTGATATATGTAGATGGGATTATTTAAAAAAATAAAAACCAAATAATGTAGATACATCTAAGAAATATAATTATAATTTAATTTGGGTATTCGTAAAATAAAATCAATTTTGCAGATCTTGATATATGTAGACAGAATTATTTAAAAAATTGAAAACCAAATAGTAGATACATGTCCTTCGTATTTTTTTAAATTTATTTTATACCGCATTCTTTAATTTTATTGTAACCGTTCCATTTTTTTGATTAAACAAAATAAAATGTCCTTGTCTTTACTAGTATGTAGAATAAAAATTTTAATTACGATGTTATTAATCCAAAGAGATAGATAATTTATATTTTAAATAAAATTATATTGAGTTTATGAACATCTATGAAATAATCTTTTTTTAAAAATTGTTTTTGCAATTGGTGTTTGACGCTTAAAAAAAATCGTGAATGTTTACAGAAATTTGCAGCTTGAATTACTTTGTAAAACAAAGGGACACACGCGTAATAAATAACATTTATTTATGCGCATGATAAAAACACGAGCGAGATATATAGTTTTCGTAATCGAATTACGTGTCATTATTAACATTTAGATAATTTGTGGCAAACATCGTATCAACAGGTGGATGGGCCTTGGTGTTCGCGGTAGAAGATGTCGCTACAGGAAAAGAATATGCCCTTAAGGTGAGTAAATTAATAAACAACGTTCAGTCTTTTTTGCAACTTACATTTTGTGGTATATAAAATATTGTATATAAAAAAATTATTTTTTTTATCATTAGAGACTTATCGCCGCCGATGAGGATGCAAACAGAACCATTATACAGGAGATAGAAACGTTGAAGAGACTGTCGAATCACCCAAACGTTATTCAGTTCTTGCACGCCCAGCGACTGGAGCGAGAGGAGCGTAAAGGATACGAGTACCTGGTCGTCACCGAGCTATGTCCCGGCGGTACGGTAGCGGATATACTCAGGAGCGTGTCCGCGAACACGCTGACTCTCGCCCAAGTGTGCAGAGTGGCCTATCAAGCGGCACGTGCGGTGCATCACATGCACAGCCAGCAACCGGAGCCCTACGTGCATCGGGACATCAAGCTGGAGAACTTCTTGCTCGGGCGGGACGGCCTTGTGAAACTCTGTGACTTTGGTAGCGCCTCGACTCAGCAGATCCTGCCGGACCCGTCATGGAATGCTCAAAAACGCGCCACTCTGGAGGACCAGTTGGCCAAGTACACAACCCCCATGTATCGCGCTCCGGAAATGATGGATACGTGGAACAATGAACCCATAGGGCCTCCGGTGGATTGCTGGGCGTTAGGATGTATATTGTATTCCCTGATCACCCTGCGGCATCCTTTTCCCGAAGGTGAGATAATCGGCGATTTGCTAAATATCGAATTAACCAGAGCGTACAGATATTATAAATGATAATGAATGTGAAAATGTAGGATGACTCATTAGAAAGGATAAATATCCTTGGTTTTAAAGATACAGAGAAATGAAATGTGATTTAGATGATTTCGAGATATGAATATAAAGAACATAATTTTTTTTCAATGCATTTTTTTCTTTAGAATTATTAAGTCAGTAATATATTTCTTTAATAAAAAATAGAATGCGTAAAGAAATAAAAGAATTATTGGAGAAACTATTGTTAAAAAGTACTTTCGCATACCGTACAAACCTAAATATCATGCCAATTTTATTACGACAATTACAACAATCGTTAAAGCAATTTTTGTTACGCAGGTAACAAACTAGCAATCGTAAACGGCAAGTATCCACCGTTACCGCCCAATCCACGGTACGCGTGTCTGCACGATCTGGTGAAGGGATGCCTGCAAGTCTCGCCCATACAAAGGTTAACGACAGCACAGCTCTTGGAGCGTCTGGCGGCAATCGCCGAGTCAAACGATTTCGATCCCAGAGAACCGCCGCGGATCGAAGTCGCGATCAAATCGTCACCACCCCCGCGTCCAACACCACCGCCGCCGCCGCCGTCAAATATGCCGACGTCGGTCCCTCGTACCACCGCGCCGGCGACGATGCCGCCGCCGAGACCGGCGCCCGCGCAGACGGCGGTGTCCAAGATACCGGCGGCTCCGAGCACGACCGGCCTATTCAACTCGCTGAGGGGCGGCGCCGGCAGTATCCTGCGCAACTTGAAGGACACCTCCAGCAAGGTGATGCACACCGTTCAACAGAGTATGGCCAGGACGGAACTGGACGCGAGTTACCTGACGTCGCGCATACTCGTCATGCCGTATCCAGCCGACGGGATCGAGTCTGCCTATCGGGCCAATCACGTGGAGGACGTGAGAGTCTTCCTCCACGCGAGGCATCCGCCGCCCGCCAAGATTCAGCTCTACAATCTGTCCCGCGGCCGGCCGAACGTCGCGCGGCTCCCCGGCAGGCACATCGATTGCTCGTTTGCCTACGCCACCCCGGAATCGAACGCGCCCATGCTGTTCGCTCTGTACCAGATCTGTCAAGATATCTACCAATATCTGAACGCCGACTTCAATCACGTAGTGGTGCTATATTGTACTGTGAGTACCTGTTGCAATTCAAATTAAACGCTCGCTAACGATAAATGAATGACACTTGTTTGCCTTTCCAGGACGGGTATCGGGCGAGCGCCACAGTGGCGTGCACTCTGCTGATCCACTGCAGGGCCTTGACCACCGTCGACGAGGCGATCGCTCTGTTCACGACGAGACGCTGCCAGCCGCCGCATCTGCAACCCTCGGAATTGCGCAGTATTAATTACATGAGTATGCTCAGCGGCGGCCGGCCTCCGCACACGAAGCCGCTGGTCCTCCGTTCCGTTGTCATACAGCCGGTGCCGTTGTTCACCCGGGCGAGAGACGGCTGTCGGCCGTACATAGAGATCTACAGTAACGGCGCGCTGGTCTTCACGACGAAGAAGGCCGGCTACGAAGAGATGAAGCTGTTCGGCATGATGGAGGGCAAGGTCTGCCTGATTCTGGGAGACGCGGCCGTGCGCGGTGACGTCACTCTAGTGGTATACCACGCCAGGCAGCAGCTCGGCCGTGTAATTGGCATTAAAATCGCCTCGCTGCACTTCCACACCGGCTACGTGCCCATCACCGAGAGCGCCTTGACGTTCGAGAAACGCGACCTCGACGATGCCCCCGAGATCGGCGGCAAGTTCCGCGTTGTGCTGAATGTCATGATAGGTGAGGAAAATACGAAACTGTCGAGGGTGCCGGCGCCGTGGGAAGCGGAAATGTGTGTCAAGCCCGTGCCGGATCCGCTGTTTGGTTCGACGCTGGAAATGGAGGAAACTCTGGAGAACTTCAGGACAGCTTCTCACCAGGAAGAGGTAGAGCGTTTTGCTGTTATTTATTATATACATCTTATTTAATTTTTTAACATTAGAGTACAAAAAACGTTGGAAAGTTGACGATAACAATTGACGTTATTGCAGGCTGAGAAAGTATCGTCGAATGAAACCGACAAGATTTCACAACACGAAGCGATACCTCAACAACAGCCGGAAGAGCCGAAGGAGGAAGAGCCAAGCAAGATCGAAGAGAACAGCTTTCAGGAGGCTGATCTGTTGAACCTCGGCATGCCGGACAATACCAATAATACCTCAAATACTCCCGCCGCCGCGGCGACGGCAAATCCAGGATTAGATATTTTTTCTAGTTCTAGTCAGAACGAAAGCGATCTCTTGGGCGGTTTCGGCGTGTCGGCGCCGCAGACCGAGGCCGCCAATTCGATACCTTTAATTAACAATAACGTCCCGACTGATTTACTGTTCGGACACGACAGTTCTGCGACGAGGAGCAGCACCACCCCGAGCAACAGCAATCTGAACATGAACGATCTTTTATTCGGACAGAATCAGGCAGCATCGAGCAACGTTAAGGAGGTCAACGACCTGCTGTTCGATCCGCTGGGCGGCAACATCTCGGGGAATCTCCTCAGCGGCCTCGCGCCGAACACCGCGAAACCGAACACCGCCAAGGGCCCGAATCCCGAAGAGAACTTCCCGCGAAATGCCAGCGTGCCGAACTTCGCCGCTCAGACTCAGAGCAAGGATCCGTTCGCCAATCTGGCCGGGTCGTTAGGCGCCGGTCTCACGGGCAGTTGGAACGGCACGCCGAGAAATTCGAACACCCCGCAGTCGGCGAGCCCGGCGCCCGCGAGCACGCCGATCCACTCCAGCCCGAATACGATGCACAAAGCCAATGCGGCGACCAACGAGGCCAACGGCGCGAACAGCGGCGCGAACTCGGATGTGTTCGGCGGTAAAGCGAAGGAGAAGACGAGCGGCGACGCGTTCGAGGATCTGCTCGGTAGCCAGGGTTACAACTTCTTCAGCTCGCGCAAGGCCGACAAGGACAGCCCGAAGACAATAAATCAGATGCGAAAGGTGGAAGCGGCAAAGTCGATGGATCCCGACAGGCTGAAGATCGCCGAGTGGACGGAGGGCAAGAAAGGAAATTTGCGGGCCCTGCTCTGCTCGTTGCACACGGTTCTGTGGCCGGAGGCTGACAGGTGGCAGCGTTGCGAAATGCATCAACTGGTCACGGCAGCGGACGTCAAAAAAGCTTATAGAAAAGCTTGCTTGGCTGTGCATCCCGACAAGGTACTCGGATCTCATCGAATATCATTGCTTACATAATCCTTTTTTTTTAATTATTTGTGAAATAGTAACAGCTTTTGAATTTTCCAATAGACGTGAGATAGTTGATCGATAATATTAATAGCGACAATATATCCATTTTGTATAATTAATTATTAATGTAACCACATTTTCTTTTAAACTGATAAATTTTTCTGATAAAATTGGTATTACTAAATATTAAATAATAGAAATATATTTTTAACGTATACTTTTTAATTTTATTTCTTGTTTAATTAGCATTTAAATAATATTATGACGGTAACGGTATTGAACATTGAGCTGGCGAAGAGAAAAGTCAATTCAGTTAGACTTTTTATTCTAGACAATTTTATTTTACTACTCAAACAGTTAATTTTGTGAAAGTAGTTTTCAATTTAGAAGAAAAAAAATTTAACGTAATTCTATTTCTGTGTTGCAGCAAGCAGGCACAGCAAATGAGAATATAGCAAAGTTGATTTTCATGGAGCTGAACAATGCGTGGAGCACGTTCGAGAACGATGCGTCGCAGCAAAACCTATTTAGCTAATTTTAATGATCGTTATCTGTTATCGAGAACCTGTCTCTGTAATTAATTTAGTTCCTAGCGGAAGGGGAGCTAAGGGCGGGGCGGGGATCTCGTTATCCGTGCGATAACTGCATCCATGTAACTGCATTCCGACTACGTTATTTTAGCTGTAGAGAGAAAGACAGGGTGCGAAAGAGAAAGAGAAACGAGAGAAAGAAAGTAAAGTCTTCAGAGGCGACGGCGAGTTCGGCGAAGCGGTGCTTCGGGACGCGTCTCCTTATTGTTTCAACGCCTTGTAAACCTAGTTAAAATGCCCCCACTTATGGCAGTGCGGCGTAACGTATATGTATATAACGCAAATGTACATTAAAAAGAGGATCCCAAATATACGAAGCTATTTTCCGGTCGAAAAGAAGTTTGCACTATTGTCCACCGAAGAGTCTCGAGGATTGCTGTAGAGGTATTCCGCTCATCTTGATATTTATCTTGATTACGAAAAAAAAATTGTGCAATACTAAATTTATAATCAAATTGACGTAATCCTATATTTTTTTATTACGAAATTTATAAAATTGTATGCGACGTGCATAATTAATGTTTATAATTGTGTGCAATTTTATTTATTTATTTTTTATTTATTTTGAGGCACGGAATACCCATTACTGATAACGATGTCAGTAGAAAAAGAATTTTTAAGCGGAATCGTTTTTAGCATATTTAATTTACGATTTATTAATATAAAAGTTATTTTGATTAATTTAATAATTTAACAGAAGCATGAAACGTTATATACATATGAAAGAAACTTAAGATTATTTGATTCAACTTATTTTCAAACTTTGTCGCGAATAATTTCGGTTTTTCTTGAGTATACGAAAAGTTCCAATATTTTTTGGTTCTAATTTTAACAGAGATTCTTTGACTACTTTAAAGTAAAATTCTTCTTTGAAGTGAAATTTTAAAGGTATTTGTTGCAATTTTCTAGCTTTAATAATTAAATCTTGAATTAAAGTTCCCAAAAAGAAAAGTAAGAGTTCAATTGAACTCAAATGATATATTTAGAAAGGGTATTTTCTTACTTAATTGCTGTTGAAAAATGTAGTTAAAAAAATTTTTATTTATCTGGAAATTTAAAGTTGTAAGTAGACTAATAACGAAATAAAAACCGAATATTTCTTTATACAATCCTAAAGTTCTCCAGTTGAATCCCTCAAGTCTTGATTTACACATAATTTTTTTATTTTTCAGTTCTTGCATATAACAATCATCAGTCTTTTGTAACAACTCAAAATTGTTATTTTCTTTACATATGTATATATATATGTATACATATATGTATATATATTGCTGAAGAAAGGACTCGAGTTGTCCCAAGAGTACGAAATCAGGTCACGACTTCCGGGACACCGCGTATTAGGAGGAGCTCAAGAAATCCGTTCTTTTTTAATTCATAGGACACTGTGAGAGACATTTATAACGGGCGTCAGCAAAATCCACGAGTGTTAGTGGCATTGTCAGAGAACCGCCGATACACGCAAGGACACACGTACACACACGCGTGCAAGGGGAGACAGGCGCAATACATGAGTATGCCACGAGCGCGCTCGTGTGGACCACAGGATGCCACAGGGGTGAAATTTAAAGGGAGGGGCTGCTCTCGCGAAAATGGCCGTTACGCACGGGGTAGATCGTCCGGGGGTGGACAAGTGACGGGTGGCTCATCGTCCGTGTCCTCCGCACCGACCAATTGACCGAGTGCCTCGCGACGATTGACACGGTTTACCCGATCGACGGCTATTATGCGGCGGTGGCCAAAAAGCGATCCCTGCTCTGCTCTTCTTAAACCCCCACCAGACGCGCGACCTTCTATCCCTTCCGTCAAGAGGTAAGGTCGTCTCTGTTTTGTGCATCCTATACGAAACGCGTACGGATTACAGTTTTTATACAATTGTGATTTGAAATCTCTCTCCTTCAAAAAGTGTGTGCACGTTGTGGCGCGAATCTTTGTGCGTGTTTGTGAAAAAAATTATCTTGACACTTGCAAAAAAAAAAAAAAAAATTGGAACAGGGTAACTATCCCTGGCAGGTGAAAGATACTGTTAGTAATCTTTTACATATCAATTAATTAATATTGACAAATTATTGTTGAGTTCGCGTTTTCTTCGTAGTGCATACGAAAAAAAATTGTTTTTTTTTTTTACATATATTTATACTCCCCTTATATTCATAACACAGTACAAGATATATAATTATAAGTATCTTGCGCTGGAAGAATTTTTCACGAAGTATAATTTAAGAATAATTTTTGAGATCAATTATACATCGTGCACAGTAATATTATAGCAGTTTCGGTAATATTATCAAAATGCTGGCAAATATTTGTTAATCGAGACTTATCTGCCACGCATGTATTAACATGATATATTAACGACACATTAAAATAATATTTCTCAATGAAAATGTTATCTCTTGTAGATTAGGCCCACGCTTCAGCAATGTACATCAAAAAAGCTAAATAGAAAAAGAGGAAGGGGAGTATAAGGAAAAACTGAGGAAGATGCCTGGCTCCTATACGGGAGTTGTAATCCTCCTCTTGTTAGGGACTTCTGTGTCAGTATCCGGTACAGCGGATGCTGCCAAGTCTCTGAGAGCGGCGAAGGCCAGGCTCAGATCGTCTTACGCATCGTGGCGGATAGTGGTATGTTTAACTCAGCCTCAGACTCCTTTCAAGGCAGACGTACAGAAAGCATGGGAGGAAGCGAGACTGGAATCTTTTCACGCGGACATGGATGTGTCATATATAGAAACAAGGATGGCACCCATGACAGATTCCTTGTTATATCCCTTGAATGTGTTAAGCAAATTTTGTACAGACATCGAAGGCGGAAAGACAGTATTAAGCCTTATTATAGGGGGAGGATCGGCAGCCAGATTTCTCGTTACGGCTGCTGCCGCCTTGAACCTTCCAGCTCTGTGGTTACCGTTTACGCACAGAGATTTTCTTCGTCAGGTACCCATTCACATTTACGAATTTTGCGTTGCTTGTCTAATTAATTCCTTAAAAAAAAAAAAAAAAGAAATATAGATAGACTTTTCCTTACATTACGATAGCAATTATCGAAATTGGTGTTGCAGAATGATTCGATTATATAATTATATGTTTTACAATGCAAAAATGAGATTACTTTTCGTTTACAGGGAAATCTTGGTCGGTTCGAGAACCGTATCGGGTCGAGCCCCAAAGAGGTCGGAGCAGCGGCTGCCGCTTTAATGAATCGGGCTAACTGGCATGCGTTTACTCTCCTCATCGACACCACCCTCCTACCCGTCACCCATCTTTTGCAAACGAATCAGCCAACGCTGACACCTCGCGCGATTATACACCTCCCGACGAACGACAGAACTCTGAGACTAAGGCTGAGGCGGGTAGCCGAGGAGAACGGCAGCGGCGGGGTCGTAGTGATGGCCTGCGATCTGAACAACGCCCGGAAGATTCTCGGTGCAGCTGGCAAGTTTGAGATGCTCTCGGGCAGATTCTTATGGCTCTGGCTGGATCTCAAGGCGGAGCTGCGACCGAACGAGCCCAACATCATCAGTTCGCACCTCCTTCACAGTTCGCGTGTCGCCGTTGCGTCCAACGAGAATTCACCGCTGTTGGAGCGAACGACGAATCTCGCGTCGGACGATAAGCCGCTACCGCCGATGAATCCGCTGCCGAGTCTGGCCAACGACATACATCGGTTGCAGGAGTACAGATGGCGAGACGAGAGGATCATGACCAAGCGGGAGGACAAGGGCTTCAATTTCGACGACGAGGAGGATGTCGTGAGACTCGCGAGTGACAGGGAGCTCAATTCCAAGAGTTTCATGCCGATCGGGATGCTCGCGCTCAGGCCGTCCGGTATCAAGATCATGGGCGGCGACACCATACTGACGAGAATGCTGAGGGAAACTTCGCAGGCGTTGGACGAGACCTTCCTGGAAACGAAGACGAGATTGAGTCGTATGCGCGAAGCGCAGCTCAAAGAGCACTTCGTACCGGAATGCTTCCCGGAACGCAATCCTAAATTTATGACGAGCGACGCGAGGGAGAATGTATCTGCGATCCTGACGAGCAAACTGAGGAAATCCATGGGACAAATCTCCAAGGACAAGGCAGAGTTCCAACTGCTGAATTTGCAAGCCGTCAGGTTTCCCGGAAATAAGACTCAATTGAGGTTCGACTCATTCTTTTTAAATATTCGTATCTAATCGTTAATAAATGGAATAATCGGTGTCGTCAATGTTTAACAGGTGGACCAAGGTCGGCACTATCAAGGGAGGCAGGGAAGTCCGTTTGGATACCATAATCTGGCCGGGTGGCGGCATTATGCCGGCGTATCTCGAGCAGGGCGGCGAGAAAATCGGGATGCCGATTTATCGTATCGTGACCGTGCTGGCGTCGCCGTTCACCATGGTCACGAGTCTGCAAGAGGGTTTCTGTTTGCGCGGCCTCACCTGCCGGCAGGGTAATGCCGTGGTGTGCTGCTACGGCCTGAGTATGGACCTGCTGTCCTTGGTAGCGCGCGAGCTCGGATTCCGTTTCGATCTGTACCTGGCGGAGGACGGGCTGTTCGGCAAGCAGAACAGCCGGAACGGCTCGTGGAACGGCGTGATGGGTGAGCTGGCGTCCGGCCGAGCACAGCTGGCGTTCGCGGCCTTGAGCGTGTCCACCCATCGTGCTAAAGTGGTGGACTTCACCACGCCGTACTACTTCAGCGGCGTGAGCTTTCTCACGGCGCCGAAGCTACGTTCCGAGATACCGCTATTCGCGTTTCTGTTCCCGTTCAGCACGCAGCTGTGGATCGCCGTGTTCACGTCGCTGAATCTCACCGCGATCGCCGTCGCGATCTACGAGTGGCTCAGCCCGTTCGGCTTGAATCCCTGGGGCAGGCAGCGTAGCAAGAACTTCTCCATCGCCTCCGCGCTGTGGGTGATGTGGGGCCTCCTGTGCGGCCACCTCGTGGCCTTCAAGGCGCCAAAATCTTGGCCTAACAAGTTCCTTATCAACATTTGGGGCGGCTTCTCCGTTATCTTTGTGGCCTCGTACACGGCTAACATAGCCGCCCTTATCGCCGGTCTCTTTTTTCACTCTGCAGTGAGCAATTATCACGATAAAAGCGTGAGTATCTCGGCTCTTTGTAAATACGCGAATGTTTATAAATTTATAAATAAGCAGCAAATTAATATGAAAAAAGAAGAAACAAAAGAAAAAAAATGTCTATATATTAAATCTCTTACATTGTAATTATCGCTGAGAATAATTATTTTCTGCTAATTATTTAATTATAATTATTTACAAAATTAGATATTATTATTTAATATGTCTATGGACAATACACGACGAAAATGCAAAAGAAAATATTTACTTTGTTCTAGTTTTTAGTCATAGATTTAAAACTTTTGAATGTATTATAGCTTGAATTATTACAGCTGTTGTCACAAAGAGTTGGCGCACCGAGAGCTTCCGCGGCCGAGTATTACGTGCAGAAAGCGAATCCGGAGTTATGGTCCCACATGGCTCGTTACTCCTTGTCGGACGTTGCCGAGGGCGTGGAAAAATTGAGAAACGGCACTCTGGACATACTGATCGCGGACACGCCGATTCTGGATTATTACCGGGCGACCGACAACGGTTGTCGCTTGCAGAAAATCGGCGATACTATCAACGAGGATACTTACGCAATCGCGCTTACGAGAGGACATCCTCTGAAGGAGAGCATATCTAAAGTTGTAGCGAATTACACGAGCAACGGGCTGCTTGACATTCTGCAGGAAAAATGGTGAGCGATGCGCAAAAATAAGCGCAAAAATTGGATAATCGATATCGGTTCGCGTGCAAACTTTCTTTTTATTTGCGCGATAACGAGAGCGTAATAATTACCTTAGACGAAAATACATTAAGTGATAAATAAAGTTTCGCCGCGCAGAATATATGGACTGCGCGAGAAAAATATATAAGCAAGTACGTTGTTTATCTCTTAAAAAATTCATATAAAAATAATTAAAATCTCATCTAAAAATCAATTTATTACGAGAATTACATGTATTAAACACATTTTATTATACATATTAAAAATGTATAATGTAAATATTTTATCTATCAGTTTTATGTATTTTATACATTTTATATAATTTTTATATAATAACGAGATCATTAGTATTAAAAAAAAGGCATTAAAATCAGTGAGGTAAACACTTTATATAAAGCGAGCTAATTCCAGGTATGGCGAGCTACCTTGTCTGAGCGGTCGACCAGGGATGGAGTTAGATTTCGAGCCGGGTGGTCAACCCAGGCCACTGGGAGTCGCATCCGTGGCCGGGGTGTTTTGCCTACTCGGGATGGGCGTGGTGCTCGGTACCATTATACTGGTGGGAGAACATCTCTTCTACAAGTACACGCTGCCGCGATTACGGCACAGACCGGAGGATTCCATCTGGCGTAGTCGCAACGTCATGTTCTTCTCGCAGAAGCTGTACAGGTTCATCAACTGCGTGGAGCTGGTCTCGCCGCATCACGCCGCCCGCGAATTGGTGCACACGGTGCGACAGGGCCAGATCGCGTCGCTCTTCCAGAAGAGCGTCAAACGAGTGCGTGTCCTCAAATTTTTAAACAGCCCACAAGTTTGCGAACTGAATCTTGGTAATACAAAAGCGACTCTGAGTACTGAAAATAGTCGAGATATAATTGATTTTTCTAATAAAAGTTTACCTACTTGAAAATTTAAAAATTTATTTTTGCGAACTTATGGACGGTACGTTTATTTTTAATTTTTCAATATCTACAACGTTTCCATGTTCCAGAAGGAACACGAACAACGTCGCAGACGTAAGAGCAAAGCGCAATTCTTCGAGATGATTCAAGAAATCCGAAGGTAAGAGAACGCAGTTTTCAAGTTTGTCGGACGAGATAAGTTTTTTAAGAGTATCAGAGAGTGCAGAGAAACTGCTGAATATTTTTCAGAGTACAACAGGAAGAGAAGATCGAGGCGGTATCCGAGGAGACTGATGCCAGCAAGACGAAAAAGGATGAGAAAAAGGACGAGAAGCTGGGAAAAGGTAGAGAGAGGAGTCGCAGCAAGAGTCCGCTGATGCCTCGAAGCCCCAAGCGATCGGAGAAGAGTAGGAGCTCGACGAACCTGTCGGCATCTCGTCTCGGATTGTCGCCGGTGAGTCTCGACGCGCCGATGAAGCCGCGGGAGTTCACGCTCAGCAGCACCAATTTACGCGCGAGAAGCCCGCTAGAGACGGTAGGCCGTAGATTGAGCCACGGGGACGGCGGTTCGCCGCCGCCGCGTCTCGGCTCTTTCGGCGGCAGCGCCACTCTGCGCCCGTTAGCACCCGCCAGAAGCGACTCGACACCTGGCGGTGGCACGCCGACCGTTCGCCGTGATTCCGCCGCCGGGGGTGGCGGCGTGCCGACGCCGAGATACCCTCGTAGTCCGGCCAAGCGGGGCCAGTCCTTCCCGGTGTTCGCCACCCTGAGACCGCCACACTCGGCCGGCTACCAAGCGTCCAGGAGTCCGCTCTTGTCACCGAACAGCGAGCTCACATCCGCTCACATCGGGAGGAAACTGTCGCGCGAGTGGGGTTCCGGGACAATTGACCTCACCAGGTCGTCGGAGGCTATAGGCAGCACTAGTGGCGGCGGCGGCAGCGGAGGTGGTGGTGGTGGTGGTGGTGGTGGTCGTGGTTCAACGTACACCCTGAATCAGGAAATGACGCTTTCCTTGAGTCGTTCCGCGGGCGAGGAGAAGGCTCAGGAGGAAGCGTTGCCGATCAAGAAGCCCATACGGCGCGCCAGGAGTCACGAGAATCGAGACAACAGTAAGCTGATGGCGGATCTGCCGTCGCCGAGATTGACCCAGCCAGTGGTGGGCGGCCAGTTCGTGAGCGAGCGAACCAAGAAGCAGCTGGACTCCGAGCTGAAGGCCATTTTAACTGCCAGGGCCCACCACCGCGACCTGCATCCCCCTTGATAGGAGACCGCCCCGTACTAAGGGAGAGTTCTTGAAAGCAGTTCGGCTTTTTGGGGATTGCTGAGAGCCTTTGAGGGGCTTTGATTGATTTTAAGCAATATCAGATTTATAGGTCAATTTGTTAGAGGAATCCAACAGTTTATCAGAGAAATTACGAACTAACCAGAGGCACGGCGATGCGAGTTAACGGGAAAAATTTTCTGCTGTTGGAGTGGGTGAGGGAGGTAGGGAGGGATGAAGTAAAAAGGGACGGAGAAAGATCTCTTTGATTGTTCATACGTTGTTACGTACGTTGATAATATAGGATAAACAAAAGTGCTATAAACTCTAGTAGTGATGTCTTAAATAGGTAGCGAGACACATACGAGTACTAAGATATTTTCTTGTTGACATTTTAACTCTACATTAACCGGCAGCCTGGGTGAGTCTCTCTCTCGATTGCTATGGTACCAGATATTGTACGCTGTGCAGCGTTTCTCAACTCCGATCTTCCGACGGATTCCGTCGCGATCTCTAGCACGTAGGGGGTAGAGCTCTTTCAAAAACTATCGGTTCTCAAAACCAGTTTACGCAAAAGAAAAAAAAGAAAAAAAAACTGCGTTCACCGGGTCGAGTCTGTCCAAGTTTATCGAGCGGGTGTCTCCATTCGCAACCGTTCGCACCCACTGACTTCCAGCGACGGCGATCGATTAGCCGTACACACTCAGCGCACGAATACAACGAACACGCGATGATTTATGGACGCAGCATCGGACGTCTATTCCCATTTATCTCGTTTCTTTCTCGCGGCGGCGATGGAGAGGCGGGGGGGCGTTTCGCTCGCGGATAAAAAAAACTCGGACAGGCCAACGTAACTAGGATAATCGTCCCCTTCGGGGAGTGTAAATATCTCGAGACACAGACTGTCGTTCCTTCGATCCCTCATCTATATTGAATATATTGTAAATACGGCGGAATACTCTTATTCTGGATATATATACCTCGCCATAGGCAGAGGCGTAACGCGCGCGCGTAGCGAAAGAAAGTTGAGAAACGCTGGTTCTACCACGAACCTCGTCGAATTGGACTGCATACTGCCACTTTAATAATTTTCTGCGACTGCGGAAGGAGAGAGACTCGCTCGATGGACTCTCGGCGTAGAAATGACCACTTACCGCGAGATAACATGCATTAAATCTTACAATTATCGCGCATAAGAGGGGGAAGGATTTTGGAGGCTGAGACGGAATTCTAACACGAGTCCCTTTACACCGCGTATATTCGTAACCGCGGGTTATTCGGATACCGGAGACTCGGGCATGAGGATTGGGAGCGAATACCTAAACATTAATAATAATCAATGGAGGATCTTCCTTTTCGCAGCCACGTCGCGACCGTCGCGCAATTATATCTCCTAAAAGCAGTGCCAAAACGTCAGTATTATAACTTCGTGATCGACTTCGACTTCGTTTGCTTTCCATCCGGCATCGAGAGATGTGTAATAGAGTTGTATATTTTAGCTAGATATAAGCGCCGGGGTCCGGTATTATGCGATAACCTTGCTCGTTCGTTCGCTGCGCGACACACTTGGTAAATCGTCGACCTCGCGGGCCGGCGAAGTTTTACCGATATATTTCTTCCGACGGTTTTACTAGACTGATAGGCGAAAATTTCATTCAGGAATTGTAAATGAAACATTATCGGAATTGAATAATTGTTACTCGATCGATGTGCATGTCTCCCATCTTCGTCTATCGAATTCTTTCGATTCACTTGATGAAAAAGGGGGCGAACTCACGTCTAGTCTCATTATTATTCAACTTAGATTAGTAGAAACGTGGATGTGTGCGGGACTAAAAAGATAAAAAAAAAGGAGGAGGACGAGACTCGAGTTAATTACTTTTAAAGCAGAGAACGGGAAGATTCATATGAGCGAGGCCTTAGAGGAGTAGTCGTATCCGCCCAAAAAAAAAAAAGATACTTTACTTAAAAAACTAGTACTGTACTGTACTCGAATATTTCACTACATTATATTGTACGATAGAGTATAATAGACATTTAGTTTCATAGTTCTCCTCGGTAGAACGCTATATTGTATTCAGAAAAAAAAAACTTAAAAAAACTAAATTCCTCGTCGAGTCCTTAGTGGGTAGGTTTCTCCGTGTGTGAGTGTACGTGCGACTATTTTTTTTTTCCCCACCAGGAAACGCGGCGGCGGCGGCGGCGACGGTCGCCGACACGGACAAGCCGCCGCGGGGGCAGACTACACTTTTCCGGTAGAGCTAGAGCGTCCATTTGTCCTCGTTAAGTAGGTCGTGGCTAGTAAAATCTCGAGGGTCTGTTCCCTCGGATACCACATGCGTCAACGCGACGCGACGCGACGCGACGCGTTGACATTGTTACGTCGCGTCGCGCCGGAGCCGCGCGTTCGAAATCGATGAAAGTGTCCTGAATGATTGCACCTACGAGGGGGGAGGGGGGGAGGGTCTCCGCACCCACAGGTACACGCTCAGCGAGACTCGCCACGCGTTTTTACGAGCGCGCTAAAATAAAAAAAAATAAAAAAAAAAGAGAAACGATTCCGCCGATGACACAACGCACACGCGCACGCACGCATGCACGCACGCAACAAAAAAAAAAAAACCGGCGACACGCCGCGCGTCTCGCCTACATTTTACAAAGAAACACCTCGGTGGCGTCTCGCCACGTGGAAACGACACACCGCTCAGCTCGCCCGCTTCTCTCATCGACCTTTTTCAAAGAAACTTTAAACTCGTCTCCGTCACACCGTGATCGCTATATAGGGCTAGCCTGTCGAAAGAAGGGAAGCTAAAATGGACCTTTCCACGTAAAACGCGTTCACGGTAGACTATGTAATAGGCGTAATCTGTGCTGCAATTAATTCAGGAAGTGATCAAAATACAAACATATAGGGGGCCAGTCTAGAGTCACCCGCGCCTAAAGAAATCAAAGATAGACTTATTACAATTAATTTATATAAGCTGTAACGTTCTCCTCGTATAATCGGTGTGGGTTCTGCCAGTAATTTGGTTCAGTAGGGCTCTCTCCCCCTTCTTCTTCTTCGGTTTTTTTTTTCCGTCGCGTTGTTTCATTCTCGCCGAGCCGGGGAAAAATCGCCCCCTCCCTGATGTCTCTCGAGGATCCCTTGTACATAAACGTGTCTTCTACTCTAGATATACCTGAAGGAACACTATTGCACTGAATTAAAGGTCGAGCCCCCTACTTCTTTGTGCGCCAACAAGAGCCTGTTAGACGTCACACGCACGGAAAGATAAGAGCAAAATGCACTTATCTCGTTGTCGTCATCGTCGTCTCCGCGACCTCCTTCTGAGAGAACGCAATTCCGCGCATGATCGTAAACCTGTCGCGATAACGACAAGTGTGCCGAGGAGCGTTTGGAATCTGCAATTCTGGATGTAGAATCTCAGCGTAACGATTCTCAGAGAGAGAGAGAGAGAGAGAGAGAGAGAGAGAGAGAAAGAGATGTACACGGATGATATGCACAATCTCAAAATAATTTTTCCGAGAAACCGTCGCTCTAAATAAATATTGGTATCTGTGCTCTCTCGTTCGATAACTTGTCAACTATTCTTTGAATGTTTACCATCAAAAGTATTCTTCGAGTGTTGATATCTCATTGCAATATAGCTGTATTTATTATATATATATAATATATATATATATATATATATATATATATCCATGTGTATATATAACATGTATCTGGAATTGCCGGCCTATAACGATACGATATACCACATTCCACGCGTTTTTCTCCGTGATACATGAGTTTTCCGACGTGCGATATTCGAGATCGCGAATCGAAGTGCACTCGCTCTTCTCTTTCCATCATCTCTCCGCGCATCTCGTTCTCGACAATGCGAGGGAGAACGGATATGCGGTATGCCCGAAATGCATCATTATCCTACGCGAGGAAAATCGCGAGATTCGTCTTAAGTATGTGATGATGTAATGAAATACGTAAGACGCCGAGAGAGAGAAAGAAAGTAAGAGAGAGAGAGAGAGAGAGAGAGAGAACAAGTGAAAAGAAAAACTCGCGGAAAAGATGAGGAGCAAGCGAACACACCAATTAGAAAGGAGAGTCCGTAGGTTCCGAGAAACGCGTTCACGGCGGATTGAGTTATCGGATCACATGATCGATTCACCTCATTATCTCACTATCGCGATTAATTAATGGCATCATATTAATTCACTCACTAACGGGCAATAAGATTATTCTACAAAGCACTGCCATAATTTGAACAGTTGTTACATTGATTTTGGAATCCTGCCAAGTAATACCACTATTTGATATTGTCGAACGACACGGGTCCTGTCTTGCTAAGTGATGAATTAATATGCAAATGTCTCGCATGCTGCTGTCCAGCGTCTGACTCGGCATTATCCATCCTCACGAAGCGAATATCGCTCTATATTCGCGAATAGTTAATTTCGCTTACATTTCTGGATTTTCTTGTCTTTCGTCCTCACAGCCAAATCTATCGAAGATAGATTTCGCAAAGTGTTCTGCAAATTTTTGTCGGCAGGATGCCAGCGAAAATATACCAGAACTCGCTATTGAAATATGATGGGCAGATTGCCAGCGGAAGTCTATTACATCATAATCATTTAAATGATATATTCCATTTAAATAATATAATTTATTTAAATAACTCGTTTAAATAAATATATTCGGCTTAAATGGCGTATCTCATTTAAATATTTACGAAATAAATTCTACTCGGATCTGCTGGCAAACCGCTAGCCAACACATTCGCTTACTTGGATCAATGAAAGTAAATTATTATACGTTATAAAGTTGAATCGTTTTTGTGTTCCTTCGCGCGTTTTAACGCACAATCGTGACGAAGAAGAGAAATCTTTCGGAGACGAGAGCAACTTCAATTATCGGTTGTCGCAGCTCTACAGGTTTCCCTTCCAGTATGCGACGTCTTGATTTGTCACTTGGTAAGGAGGGATCGGCTATAACGTAATGTAACGCGTTAGACTTTACGGTATAATTAATCGTAAGAGATTAAAACATAGCATGTGGCTCTTCCGTTCGTAATAACTGCAAAAGAAACAAAAAAAAAAAATAATGGGTTACCGTGGCGTGTACCTCGTTTCTCGACGCTGCACATTATTAAATGCAGAACCGCGCATTAGGCGACAGTTTAATCCTCGAACGGTCGGTGCCGCCTTTTTAAACTCATTACTATTCTTCCCCCTTCGTGCATTTAGTAACTGACTGTTACAGTTTTTGCGCACCAAACGGAAATGGTGAAAAGCGAGACCCCAGTTCTCGAGCACCGGTGATATCAAGAGTGGAAAAACTATCTTGAAACGCGATACATCGAGATACATATTCGATATATATATTGTATGTCCGTCGTACTCGTGTTTCGGGTCACTGGAAAAATGTGCACGATAAGACTGTATACACTTCGCGCGCGATAACGTTGCTCGAGGATTAAAATGAAACGCGAACGAGATTTTGCGTGTGAAGGAGGAGACGGTCTGGATCAGGCGTCCGGCTCCTCCCGACGATTAGCGAGATACCGATAGCTCGGCGTCGTATAGCACCACAAAACGTGATGAACGAAGGAATAGACGCCACGAGGATCCCTTCCAACCGCGGTGACTTGTTGGCGTACGACATTAGGATAGGTTCCTCGTAACCTACCTCGTCTCTCTTGTTACGCCTACTGCTACACTGTTATTGTTGATGAAAACTCCATATTAATAAGAAATAAATATATTATCTCAAAGCGTAGTATAATATATATGTACACACCTCGTCCTCGTTTTATTTTTGTTAGATAAATCGAACGTCATATATATAATCACATGTGTAATCTACTCTACCCTATTTATTTTTGTGCATATACTATATTAATACTTCCTACAGGTCCACCGTCAATTTCTCGTGTGATCTCACGTATATTTTTCCTTACATTCGCATATAAATTCATTCTTGAAGTTCTCTGCTTGGTCGAATGGCATTTCGTACAAAAATGCGAGAAAGCAGATATTATAGCGATTGTTGGAATCACGAAAAAAAAATCAAATATTTGAAGTAGATTTATTCGCTTGAATGAAGGGATACAGATTTACATGATATATTGTAAACGCTAGATAGAAATGTATATAGTATTAGTTTGAATGTTTTTAAAAGCATTTACGCAGAAAAGCGCGAGGTTTCTTTTCGACGTTCATCTCCCGTTATTGCAGCGGCGAAAATTCTAAATTCGATGCTTCGGAGTAATTTTTTTTAGCTCTGTGTGAGCCTTTTCCGGAATCGCGAAACGGCGTGCTTCTTTATGATTCACGTACGTAAGGTGTAACGGCATTAGTGATTCGCAATGAAAAAGTCGTAAAATAATAGCTAATTAACAATTAATATTCATGCAAATACAACGGAAAGCGCTAATTACTCTTTGCATTGCATGCTTTCAGGAATTTTAAACATGTGATAAGATATTTAGGAGAGTGATTATTTCCTGCGGAGTTTGCATTTATCGGAATATGAAATTATGCGTCAACATCGTTTTACCGTCTGTTGAAGATCAAATCAAATCAAAACTTTGCTTTCGAAGTGCGTTTTTGTCGTGTCACGGAAACGTCGTGAAAAATATAAAAATCTTGAATATCATAAATGTCTCTTACTCAAGTAACTCTCAATTGTCACGTCAAGGTCAAGGTGATGTCATTTTTATATGAAATTTCGATAAGAAATCTCAGACAAGATGACATCATCTCGATCTCACAGTCAGATGTCACATCGAGTACGAAACGAAAAGTTAGGCCACTTAACGGATGTTATTAATAATTAAAAATGCAAAGCGGGAAACGAGAATACGTGGTCGAACTCGGCGACGTGCTTCTCGGGGAGTTCTCTCGTTTGAACGTCCAATATCTCGAACTTGAGCACCTCATCGATAGCGCGTGTTCTGTTCGATGATGCTGTCGGAAGCATCCGCGTGCACAATCAAATCACGCGAGGGCCATTGAATCGAAATATGATGATCGATCCGGGTTATCTTACAATCTATTGTTCCTTCTCACGTATCGTCACCGTATCTTGACTAAGAACCGGCATGAGAATGTTCCTTGTTATCTTCCCGGAATCGGAATTCGCATACATTTCTCTTGAAGGACGTGTCCTTCAGCTCGCACACGAACGTCTCGACGAAATACGTCACACGTTGTATTTCTAGGTCTGTAAATAAATTATGAATGAAAAGCCGGATTCCGGGAAACGTGTAGAGGCGCGCGGAAGATTGCGTGATTCAGCGCGGGATTTCGGGGGAAAATTTCGCGGAACGCACATACGATGCTGGTGTCGTTCAAAAGTTACTGCCTTTCGTAATCAGCTGGTTCTCGCATTCGGATGCTTGCTGACGGACAGATCGAGAGTGGGGAACAGAGTACCCGCGTAAATTATTGCGGAAAGAAAAAAAAAATTGAGGAGACCTTATCGCGATTATTCGCCGTATGGCATAATGAATCAAACTGCAGGATTTGGCCAATCGTCAGTCAAGTATGCAATTTATTATCCCAAAGAATAATTACTGAAACGTCCCATTCATTATTAATATCAGCTGGTGTAATACAGTATGTGGAATATCGTAACAATTCGTAAAATATGATACTTATATCGAAAACGAACTTTCTTTTTTTGATAAGGAAAAAATTGTGCGAGGCATCGTGAAAAATATATATACATTTAACATATAATAGACAACATTATACATATATTGGACAGTAAGATTTTATAACATAATAAACTCTGTTTTGTCGATTAAAATATTTTAAAAGCAAAAGGGATCTCGAACAAATAAAACGGTTCAAAGTTCGATATTCTAAAACTATATTCAAGACATAAATCGAGATGTAAAACATCTGAAAAATGTCATACGGAAGTTTTCAAAAAAAAAATAATTACATAGAATATTTTCGAAATTTTAAAAGATCTCTAATTGAAAATAAAACGTTTCAAGTTCGACATCTAAAACTATATTCAAGACATTATAAATTGAGATGTAAAACATCTCAAAGACGTCTATACGGAAGTTTAAAAAAAAATATAATTTCATAGAATGTTTTCGAAATTTTAAAGGGTCTCTTTGTTAACTTCAAGGCTCAAGCATAGTAATCGTTTTGACAGTAATGAGTTCGACCTCGACCGACTAGATGGCGACACGCGTCGGAATCGAGTCGGCTGACTCAGCTCAGCTGACTGTCGGCACTCCGATAATCATGCCGTGGCAATTTTGTTAGCTTTGTGTGTCAGCGATATGTTGTATCATGTTAAATTCGCCTCGATAGCTATCCGAGTGCGAGTGAAACGGTGACGATAATCCACCGAGAAGACGTAACTTAAACGACATAAATTCAGAGAGCGACAATTAATTCGTATACGAGAATGTTTTATTTTTTTCACTCGAGGTCATGATAAACACGCCGCATAAAATGAGTGTCCTTTTTTTTTTTATACATTTGGATACATTTGTTTCTCCGGCAACGCGCTCGCCGTCTCTCTCGCTACTTAATTTCGTTCCCTCATCTTTCCGTTTTCATGATTTTCTCCCGTCCCCGCGCCTGCTCACGTCGAAGAATCGCCGTGATTAATCGACGGTATCTCGCGCCGTCCCGTCGGACAAACCGTCAAACCGATCAATTAATTCGGTCTCTCTCTCTGATTTGGTCTCTCCGAGAGTTACACGGACTCCGGACGCGGAACAGCTGACTCGCTGTCGAGATCGCGCGACGACGAAGTACCGTTCGCTCGATTACGCGCGAAATCGAGGCGAGCCGGCGCGGGCTCGCGATGAGCGGGCGGAATTTGCAAGTCATTCGAGTCATCTACGGTCACGATTGCTGTTTCACGGTCGGTTCCGTCGGGAGCGCGGACGGGGAAGCCGACGCGCGCGCGGAATCCCTCTCCCCCGTTGTACCTGGGATGGAAGGACGAACGTATCGTCGCCGCCGCCGCCGCCGTCGTCGTCGTCGTTCTTGCGACTGTCCCGAGGGGATTCCCTGCAGTGTATCTTTTGCGGCACGACGCGGAAAATTCGTTCAGGCTGAAACACATACACACATATGTCGGATGTATCACGTTGGCCGTCAGCACTGTGCAACTTGCGAGGGTACGACAGCAATTTACCATCAAAAATGTATACTTCTATATAGGAAAAAGGAGGAAGGAATGTACGTTTTTTTTTTAATCTTTCGACAGTGTAGGTATATAAAATAATATGCGGCCAGAAAGGGAGCTTTCGTGTACGTAGACGCATCAACGAACGCGGATCAGTTAAAAGTAAACAAAAGAGACGCCGGGGTCTTTCCGTGGGAAATACCATCGCAAATTCCTCGTGCTCCGAATCCTGCTTCCACAGCTGGAATGACCCGGACGATCTGGAGCATTCGAGGGCGGGAGAGGGATCACGGTTGTCCTAAGGCGAGAAACATAAGATTTCATAGCGAAGATCTCGAGATCGATACAGACATATCCGCGGAGGGAGCCTTCCGTGTCGCACCGTAATTTGGTTTCGCGTCTTTTCTCGTG